TTCTTTAGGATGCATTTGCATAATTTGACTTTAAAAATTAAGTGTCAAAGCACACTGCAAAAAAAGATAGTCTAAAAACATTTTTCACTCAGAAATAGCTAGTAAATTTCACAAACAATTACAATGAACCAGCAAGTAACACATGAAATGAAACATGAAATTTGAAATAAAAATGAAGTAGAAAAAAATTAAATGTATTTTCTTGTAAACTGTACTTCAACATCTTTATTTTCAACTTCGAAAAATATTTTTACAGTGCACTTTTTTTTGACTTGTCAAATATATAAAAACAATCTTGAATTTTATAGATTCATAAGCATGTTGCCATCAGTAGTTGATGTCAGACTTCACTTACACTTGTGGCTCTTGTATCCTGTACCTCAGCGGATTACATGCTTTATATAGTTGATACTGATGTTTGCTCTGTGTCCATCCCTTGTGGGCCTGGAGAAGCCCCCATTGCATGTTGTCTATTATGCAAACAATAGTGTTGTCATTATCAGCAGGGCCTTGTCACTGGTTGTCACCATCTGATGAGTGTAAATTGCCCTGTTTCGTAACCAAAGTGAAAATGCAACACATTTACAGTAGACAGAGAATCGATAGGGTTATATAAAGTCATTTGTTTATTTTTTTGAGCTCTTATATGCACTGAGCTGAAGCAGAAGGTCTTCATCATAGATAAGTCCTACCCTTGATATTGGCAGTGTCTGTTGTCCTCAGCTGGCTCCTCTCAGTGTTAATGTCAGATTGCGCTCAGGTTGCAGATGGTGGCTCTGGTTTCTCCATGGAAGCTGAGGCCAAGATCACTGTCACTCATGTCCTCTCACACCTGTCTGCCTCGGCTTTCCTTGTAGCGTATCAATATTTCAGAAGGCCAGGGAAAGGGCAGAAGGTGACTAAATGAACTGGCAATAAGAATAAGCAAAGATTGTAATGGGTAAGATGAGACAGACAGAGTCATGTTAAAGCACACCTCATACCATTTTGTTTCATTCGAATTAATGTGACAGAGTTAGACTTTTCTAAGTAACAAATGCACTATAATGTTTAAAAGTTTAGGGTTGGAAAGATTTTGTAATCTTTTTGAATTTTATGCTGACTAAGGCTGCATTAATTAGATTTTTTTTTTTTAAATACAATAAAAACAGTAATATTGTGATATACTTTTACAATTTAAAATAACTGTTTTCTGTTTTAATATATTTTCAAATGTAATTTATTCCTGTGATGCAAAGCTGTATTTTCAGCAGGCATTACTTCAGTCTTCAATGTCACATGATCCTTTAGAAATCATTCTAATATGCTGATTTGCTGCTCAAGAAACATTTCTTATCACATAAAACATTAAAAAAATAAACATTAGAAAACGTTATCATCACGGTTGTCAAAGTTTAAAAGAACAGCATTTATTAAAAATCTTTTTTAAACATTCTAAATGTTTTAATGTCAGTTTTGATCAATTTAATGTGTCCTAACTGAATAATTGATCATTTCTTAAACATCAAAATCTTACTGACCCCAAACTTTTGAGTGGTATAGTGTAAATTGATGGTAGATTTACCATCATAGCGTTCTGTATGCTTTCCTTGGCTAATTAAATTGTAAATTTGATGCCGTAAATCATGATTCAGCTACTAAACTAAACAAAAACACAATTTTTGTAAATCCATGTTATGTGTTGTTGCAAATTAGGTACTTTTGGAAGTTTTATGTTTAAAGTTAGATCTGAGAGCAGTTGTCTGTTTAATCCGTTGACAGCCAGGCTCTGTTCATCCCATAATATTTATTTTCACGCCAGCATTAACATCGGGGTGTGTAAACGCAAACTTGTTTGTTGTTCCAATGATAGAGCAGCTGCACACTGAGTCATCATTTTTTTCTCATTATGACTGAGCTTGAGATGTGGCATTTTAAATCCTGTTGAACATTACTTTTCATTTGTCAGTTACTCCTCTGAGTTCATCTTAAAACATTTAGTCACCTAGGTGTCATTTACGACAGGATCCTCACCACTTTTTTTTGCCATGTTAGCATTTCAGGTTTGTAATAAGTAAATACATTACAGCTGGTTTTTAGATTACTGATTGATCAGAACCACAAAAGATCAATTATTTATGCATAACCTAATTGTTTTTCATGAGCTTTCTTCATAACATCACAACCAAAAATGAAAATTTAAATAAATGTATTAGTTTAACTTCTAATTATTTTTGTTCTCTCTCCTCAGGATGAAAAACAAGTTGTGGTACTTTGAATTTGGCACCACAGAGACCATCTCAGCCACTTGTAAAAAGCTGAACGAATCCATTGAGGTGGAGGTGAGTTCAGGACATTTATCCTCAACAGTGCCCTGTTTTACTTGACAGCAAATGTTGTAATTATATACAGACACATTCACAGTCTTTTGACTGTGTATATGGTCAGTGAATACTTGAATACTGAATACTTCCTTCAACAAACTGTGATTCATTAATGCAGCTGGCTACAGTATCTACAGTAAACCTCAGGCTGCTCTTACGCAGTCAGCGTTGAAGGAACATGTCAGAACGTCTATCTGAAAGCAAACAGTGGTAGACGACCTCTGTTGACAGCGTTCCCAGCATGTCAAAGTTTCACACTGGCCAGTTTGTGCTTGTGGTTTGACGTACATAATGAATGCAATGAGTTTCAATGACAATGAAGATTTATTCTTTACTAAAGTGCTTGATATTTAATCCAGACAGAGACATTACAAGGTGGCAAAGACAAACCACTTGTGAAAAAGGATTCGTTGAAATTGTAAAATGCCTTTCAGTTAAAAGAAGCAATCATCTTTTTCAAAGAATGTATGAGTGTTTATTTTTATTAGTACTGACTTGATAGTTATTATTAAAGCATAAACATGATGTCATTTTTCTGCACCCAAGTAGATAAAAGCTGTACTTGAATGCCTATTACTTACAAAAAAAAAAGTTTTCAAAATTACAATTGGCCGCATTACCAACATGGCTGCTTAGTAAACTAACTTTGATCCAGACCGAAGAGGGTTATGTTTCACAACGGTTATGAAATTAGAAGAGCTATGAAAACATCAGCAGCTGAGGAATTTGCTTTAGGAAAAAGAAAGCTTCTTTCTCCCACTCTTGTGTGGGATCTCACACGGATCGAGGCGTCTCATTATGTCGTAAACATGTCAGCATTTGTCTTTTGAAGTTTGTGTACTTTTCCACTGTACTGACGCCCTTGGTTTGATTCAGGGTGGTCTGTGACATCATACAATACTGTACAGCATTTCTATTTTTGGATCGCCCGCAGGCATTTTTAGATTAGTTTCACTTCTCTCGTGTCTGGAATGCGATTGCTATTGATGCACCACTCCTAATAGTTAAGTACATGAATGCAGTTTATAATGCTTCAAGTGCTTTGTCACTCTTTTTTATACAGTTTACATTACCATTCAATATTTTGGGGCCATTTACATTTTTTGTATAGATATTGATACTTTTATTCAGCAAGAATGCATTAAATTGATCAAAAGTGACAGCAAAGACATTTATGATGTTAGAAGAAAATAAAATATGGCGAACATAAAAGGCTCTTTTCCAAAGAAATGTGTGTATAAGTGTATTTTACAACATTTTTTTGTTTTTCTCTATGTGTCCTAGTGTGATGGCATCATTTTGGATCTCAGCAGCACGTCTCTGGAGGGTATCGCTGTTCTCAATATTCCCAGCATGCACGGGGGCTCCAACCTGTGGGGCGAGACCAAGAAAAGACGGAATTACAATCGCATGAGTAAGAAAGTACCAGAGAGAATGACTGGCAGCACTGTCACCGATGCCAAGGAGCTCAAGTTTTGTGTGCAAGGTGAGTCAGACTTTAGGACATAAACGACTGAATTAGATCTGGGTTGCTCCTGAAATGTTCTTACAACCTACAAGTTTCCAAATATAGCAGAGACGAAACCAAAGCACGCACATCGACGGCAAAAAAAAGGCAGAGAAATTATCCTTTTGTATTCAGTTGTTGCTTCTGGCTGTTTCATTGTAGTACATTTAAGTGCTGATGACGAAATTGACTGAAACCTCTGATTTCCTGCCACTTCTGATAAATTAAAAATTACTGGCCATCTTCGGTAGATCAGCACACCATGTGGAGCCGTTTCATATGCAGCTCTGACTCACAGCTGCTGTGGAGGAGCCGAAAGCTTTTAACCATCGCTAATGAGCAGGAGTCTCTCCGGCTGCTCGTTACACTGATGTTCAGTCTCACTGTGTTTTGGGACTTCCTGCATTCGTTTCCCAGAGTGTGAAGCGCTATTAGCAGTGCTAATCGTCATTTAGGGATAGCGCTATCTGTGTCAGCACCTCACTGAGAGTAGAGTACCAGCGTTTCCAGATGCCACACTAGAGGTTGGTGTCACCACCCCACTAAATGTCCTTCAGGGAGAGTAAGTCAGCACAAACACCCTTGTGACGCCAGCCTCCGGGGCCCCGGCGTCACCATCAGCTGTCTCAGTCAGTGATCAGAGCTTGGATGTGACTGTGCCTCCCAAGGTCAGAGCAACAGCAGCTGTTTCAGGTGGTGGTGAATCAGCCTCCAGCTCCAAGCCTGGGTTTTGTCCAAAGGAAATGAAAATTCTGTCATCATTTTCTCATAAATTATAATCATATATATTTCTTAATCATCCCAGGTGAAGGTAGTTGGTTATATACAAGACTGGCTGTATGTCACTGGCTCTAAACTGCACTCTAGTTTTTATTTAAAGGGGTCATATGATGCGATTTCAATTTTTCCTTTCTCTTTGGAGTGTTACAAGCTCTTGGTGCATAAAGAAGATCTGTAAAGTTGCAAAGACTAAAGTCTCAAATCCAAAGAGATATTCTTTATAAAAGTTAAGAGTCAGCCACGCCTACCTAAAACGTCTCGTTCTAACACGCCCCCACATATCTACGTCACGATGTGGGAAGATTTGCATAACACCGCCCAAAAGAAAGAAGGTGTAACTTTTATTCTCGCTGTAGTATTGTTGCCGTCGCCGCCATCCTTTAACATGCAAAAAAATGTTGTTTTTTTTGTTTTTTAATTAAAATGTTTTACTAAGAAAATTTTCCTTTTTTTATTGTGTATGTCTTTGAATTGAGCTGTATTGTGGACACCGGTTCTGCAAAGGCTGAAAACCTCTTAGCTAAAATGCAGTGGCATAGTGTAGTGAGATTTAAAAAATGAAAAACATACACTACCATTTAAATGTTTGGAGTCTGTAATCATTTTTTTTATTTTATTTTTTTAAAGAAGTCTTATGCTCACCAAGACTCACTAAGACCAAGCATTTATTTGATCAAAAATAAAGTAAAAACAGTAATATTGTGGAATATTATTACAATTTAAAAACTGTTCAAATGTAATTTATTGCTGTGGTGCAAAGCTGAATTTTCAGCATCATTACTCCAGTCTTCAGTGTCACATGATCCTTCAAATGATCTAGAAATTATTCTAATATGATGATTTGGTGCTCAAGAAACATTTCTTCTTATTATCAATGTTGAAAATAGTTGTGTTGCCTAATATTTTTGTAGATACATTTTTTCAGGACTTTTTGATGAACAGAAAGTTAAAAAGAACAGCATTTGTTTGAAATGGAAATCTTTTGTAATATTATAAATCTCTTTACTGTCATTTTTTATCAAGGTTTCCTTGATGAGTAAAAGTATTAATGTCCTTAAAAATATATATACCGGTAATACTGACCCCAAACTTTTCAATGGTAGGACAAAAATATCTATTTTTTTATTTTTTATCACAATTGCCTTTTTATTTGTACTGCGAGGCAGAAACCTTCTTATGTCGATGAAAACAGTGCTTTTTACATTATTTGCAGTAGTTCTTCTCTGCCTCATAAAAAATACTTTAATCAGCTTCATTCAGTGGGACTGGAGTGTGTGTGTGCAAAAGTATGCATGCTTAGAAAAACTGTGATTTTCAAAATGGGGCCTCGCATTGCTTTCATAAATGGCCTCTTCTTTTAAGTCAACATGACCATTGTGTGGGCAGCAAGACCCTTGAGATGTTTTGTTTTGTTTTGTTTTAGCTGACGTCAGTAAATGACAGCTGTGACCTACGAGAGTAGCTTCATGAATTTGAAATGCCTTCTGATGTATGTAGGCACCTCTGTCTTTTTTGACGACCTGTGTGTTCATCACCTGTTCCTACTCTCTCTCTCTTTGATCCGTTTGAGTTCTCTTCACATTTACAACTCTCCCGTCCCTCTCTCTGTGCTCTTCTGTACTCCACTGACTGAACTCACATGAATCCTGTTACCATGGAGACCCCCAGGCCCTCCTGAACTGAGGAACAGCGTAGGGATGGAAAGAGAACGAGCGTTTGGGAGGGAGGGAGAGAGAGTGGGCTGCTGTGAGCAGTGTGACTCATATCAGTAATCTTTAACTGGCCTTCAGGCACAAATACTCAACCAGCACTGCATACAGTAGAGGTCTGTAGCCACATCCCATCTAAAGTAACTGTGATCACTCTGTTAGTTAGTTAGCTTTCAGCCATTTGTCTTTTTCCATTTAGCCCTAAGGATTGAGTGCTACAGGGTTTCTGAAAGCTCGAGAGTGATGTAGGTGATGCCAAGTCTCTCCGCATGTTTAGATAGCACAGGTTCCACTCTGTGAAAATGGCCTGCTGTTTCCACCTCTCTATGGAGTGTATTTTGAGGTTTATATGAATAGAGAATTCCTCTCACTCACTCCACGCAACAATTTCCACATGACTCAGGTCCTAATGGATGTCTGCGTGTGACTGTTGCATTAGTAGGGGTGTTGTTAGACTTCTAGCGCAGAATCTTTTCTGGACAGTCCTGAAGATTGTAGAGGTTTCATTTTGGCCATAATAAACAAGCATTTCCCAAATTTGGGTGGGTATTAATAGTAATAGTAGGTAATAGCTTTCCACTACACTAGATTTTTTTCTGTTTATATATACAGCGGGTAAAATAAATATTGAACACGTCACCATTTTTCTCAGTAAATTTATTTCTAAAGGTGCTGTTGACTTGAAATTTTCACGTAACATAATTTCTGAAATTATTTGTTTTGTTTTATTTGTATGTATGGATTACTTGGGTTGTTACAGACATCTGGTGAAATTTTCATGTCAACAGCACCTTTAGAAATATATTTACTGGGTAAAATGGTGAAGTGTTCAATACTTATTTTACCCGCAGTATCATTGTATTTATTTTTTTTTGGTAGGCAATTATTTTACTATCGTTTCTAGCATACCTTGATGGCAGCATTTTTTTGCCAAATTAAAAACCTTATTAAAAGTTGAACTCTAGTTTGATGTATTCATATTTGTTGGTAGCTTTGCTTTATGAAATGGCACTAATATTTTAGAGTTGATCTGATGTTTAATAGTTATTTTTCTAGATTTTCTCTCACTGTGTTTAGCAGATTTAACAGTTAAAACAGTTGTGTAAAATGTATTATAAAGTAATCAATTGATAATGTATTATAAAGTGTATTATAAAGTAATCAAATTTTTTTTTTTCAAATATTTTCTCACTGTTCAGATCAGAATAAGAATGAAAAAAAATCATGCTAGAGCTCAACACGGCTGCATTTATTCATTTAAAATACAATAAAAAATGTAATATTGTGAAATGGTATTACATTTTAAAACCTCTGCTATGGCAAAGCTAAATTTTCAGCAGTCATTACTCCAGTCTTCAGTGTCAAATAATATGCTGATTTGATTCTGAAGAAACATTGCTTATTATCAGTGTTCGAAACAGTTGTGCTGCTTAATATTTCTTTGGAAACCTTGATACATTTTTTTTTAGGATTCAGGCTGAATAGAAAGTTTAAAAGAAAAGCATTTATGTGAAATATAAATATTTTCTAGCAATTTACATTTCTTAACTGTCATTTCAATTTTAATTTAATGCATCCACGCTGAATAAATGTCTATAAAAATCTTACTGAACCCAGTAGTATAGTGTATTTCGTAGTAGTTACAAAGCACGCCTCAGTAAAGAGTTGTAGTTTTAACATTCTGTGCGTGAAGAGATTCATATGATGATAATGAGTTAAATATAACTTGAAATGATTATGTGAAAATATGCAAAAGCTGTCTAATCACAATACATGGCCATTTTGGCAGAAATTATGTCCATTTCTGGCAAAAAAATTAACCATGGATGAAATGTTCTGGATTCTTTTTATTTCTGGATGTTTGTGTATTTCAGGAATAGCTGAAATAATGAAGTCGTATTTGTGTGGTAGACAGCATCTCCACATCTCTGATCTCAAATCGGCTGTTCCCTTTTCCTCTCTTTATTTCAGGGTCACAGAGGGACATTTTGTCCTTTCACCTGCTTCCCACACCCTTGAACTCTCCTCTTTCTTTCTCTTTATGGCTCGTACACAAGTTGCTCCACCCTTCCCACAGCGATCTTGCCACACACTGCCTCGTCCTGATGGCTATTTCAGGGCACTGGAGGCAGTCATTGTTACATCCCACAAACAACAACACACACATGCACAAAAAACACACACTCGGATCCTCGTAAACACAGAGCGAATGATTTATGTTGTATTTCCTCACTCCCGTCGCACATGACAGGAATAGAAGTGAAACTCTCCACCCAAAGAGCATTGTGGGAAAACAGTGACTCAGTGGACGAAAGGGACGCTTTCCACTGTGGCTCGATCAGTGGCCAAAAAAGCCAATCGACAGCTTTGCTCTCGCTTTAGCAAGAGTGATGGACATTTGAAGAGTGGCTCTCACCCATCAGGGGTTCAAAATCATTGAAGATATTTCTGGCCCGAGGGGCCCTTTCCCATGATCTGCGTCATGAGAGC